TTAAAATGTTGTAAAAAAAGCTAGATAGTTCATCAGAAGCATATAAAATCTTGCTTGAACAATATGAGATATTTGCCAATCTCAATATTGAACTATCTACTAAAATTGAGCAACTTGAGCCTAGTGCAACAATAAATGCATGAACAATCAATGATGAGCAACTCGTAAAGAAAAATGAAAAAAATTAAAAGAAAAGTTAGCTAGCTCACAAAATGCTTATAAAAGTTTGCTTGCTAAAATAGAAACCATGTGCAAACATTATGATGAGCTAACTAATAAAGTTGCTAATCTTGAAGCCGTTGGTACAACCCCCACCAAGGCACCTAAAAAGAAAAGTTCTATCTTTAACATGTCTAAAAATGATGCTTCTACTTCTTACAATGATTTATGTTTAGACTCACCCGTGTGCAACCAAGTTTGTGTTGAGAAAGTTGTTGTAGATACATGCACACAAGAGGTTGCAATGGAGAATGAGCAACTCAAGCAAGAAGTGGCTCGCCTCATCAAAGACTTGACTCAAGTGAAAGGCAAGACGAAGCAAGCCCAACTTCATCAAGATAACACCGTCAAGGGAGTGAAGAAGCTTGATAAAGGATAAACCGTGGTTTGCTACATGTGCCATAAGGAAGGCCACAAGTCCTATGAGTGCAAGATGAAGAATGAGGGAGGAGCAAAGACGAAAGAGAAAAAACAAACAAGCAAGCTCTCTAACATCTACACCAACAAGATGGACAAGAAGACCTCCACACCATACTTGTTGAAGAAGAAGAAAAATGACAAGGTGGTGGCCATCAAGATGAACAAGCAAGCCAACAATGGGGTCAAATGCTTTTGGGTGCCAAAAGAAATCATTTCAAATATGAAGAGCACCAAGAAGGTTTGGATTCCGAGAGGGAAGTGAGAAGTCCAATGGACTTTGGGGAATTTAGAGACTTGACAAAGTATGGGTGCATTTCATGGAATGCATCATTATAGACAAGGTAATTGCCAAGTGGGTTAATGAATACTATGGACCCAAATTCCCCTTCCCATGTTAGGTAACTAGGTGTAATTTCTTTCAATTGGTATCAAGATTTAATTTCTTGTAATTTCAATTAGCATCTAGTTCCCTTTCATGCCTAGGTTTGCATTTGCATATTTAAATCCTTGTCATGCATACACTAGGTATATCTTATGGTAGGATTGCTCGGTCTCACTTTTAATCCTTGGAGCAAACCTACATGGTTTAAATTGTTTAGGAGCATGGCACGTAGCTTGTCTTTCAATTGTTCATCTAATATGTGCTAAAGTCCAAATTATAGATAACTTCTCCCGAATATTACTTTCAAAAATAATTCTTACGTTCATGAGATGTCATCTTTCAAGTGGTATTTTTTATTCTAAAATCAATGTGCATGTCTCCTACAAGTATTTCATACTTGTGTGCATAAATTTAGGGGGAGGTTACTCTACAAGTTGGATGCTTTGAGACTAACACCTTTTCAAGCTTATCATATGTGTAGTAGTCTCATTGCAAGAAAAAATGGAGTCCCCGGAGTTAAGCATCATACTTCAAATATTCACCACCTATAGCAAGTGGTATAAATCAAATTGGTTTCCACATGTGGTATTTCTAAACTGATATCATTATGTTGATTTCACTTTGGTATTTATATACTTTCTCCATGCATTATATAGATTAAACTTCTTTGAGCATTAATTTGTCAATTATGCATAAACTACATACTTCATCATATGTATGCATATATTTATGGGGAGCTTAGTCTATGTAATGTGAGAATCAAACTTTGTGACCTATTACATTCCACATACAAAGGTTCACAAAGTTTGACCCTTACTTGTGCTACTAATATCTTCCTTTTCGGTATTTGATTCTAAAGGGGGAGAATTTGTAGGACCAAAAGCAAGCCCGATCATAATAATTTACAAGTGGTAATAGTCCGAGAAAAGGAGGATAGTGGATTATGGATTAGTCTATGTAGTGGAGAGAATTTGTAGGACCAAATAGCAAGGCTTAAATCCATAATGCCACATGGGGACATTTGCAAGGGCAAGATAAGTTTAGCTTTACTAGTGGCATCTTTAATTGGTATCTTTTAGCATCATATAACCTTACTCTTTTGCATTGCATCCTAACAAGTAAATAGTTTTTAAATTCTAAAATTTTTATTATTTGTTTGTTTTGGACGTGTTGTCATCAATGACAAAAATAGGAAGATTGTAAGGAAAATGGACCCTAGGCCTATTTATTTTGGATTTTGATGTTTGATGACCAACACAACCAAATTGGACTAATGAACTTGCAAGTGATTGTTTTGTAGTTCAATAGGGCGCAAGACATGAATTGGACGAAGGCGATGTGATGATCCCATGATCAACACCTCAAGCAAGACCTTAGAAGCACAAGAGAAGACCCTAGATATCAAGCAAAGTCTAAGCACGAAGATAGGAACTACGCCGGATGCAAGATCGTGAAGAAACGAGCTTCCAGAGGTGACCGGACGCTGCCCTATGGGTGACCGGACGCGTTCGATAAGTTGCTCGGCAACAACAGGCATCAGCAGCAGCGACCGGACGCTAAGGACTAAAAGTGATCGAATGCACCGATGGCACTATTTATCTTCCCGACAATACATTTAGCACTGACCGGAAGCTGGCGGCTAATCGACCGGACGCAGGAACCGCAGCGTCCGATCGAGTACAGAGAGGTTCCAGAGCGACGAAATTGCGACCGGACGCTATCAGTGTCAGATCAGTTGATCGCGCGCTCTAACGGTCGGGACAACCGGACGTGTCTGGTCAGGACGAAAGGAGCGTCCGATCAGTAGCAGAAAAGCGGGATTTCGTCCCCAACGGCTACTTTCTCAGAGGGGCTTATAAATAGACCCCCAACCGGCCATATGAGTGGTGTGGAGCTGAGGAAACATACCAAGGGTGTTGATATACCATTTTAGTGATCTCCACTTGCATAGTGTTAGTGATTCATTAGGTGATTAGCGTAGGTGCTTTGCGAAGTGCTTATGTTGATTATACCACTGCTTATGCGCTTGCTCTAGGTTTAGGCCTAGTGTTTAGTGAGGTTTGCATACCTCTTATCGCTTGGTGCTTGCGCGCTTCTCGATACCTTGATAAAAATACCGGAGTCGTCGACGGGAGTTTGCGCATCTCTACTTTAATCTTTAGCTTCCGCATTTACATTCTTTATATTACTCCTTTTGCGGTAGAGATATAAATACATTAGCAAAATCGTAGTTACATATTTAGATAATTTATCTTTTGCATTGGTTTTGCTAAGGGTAGAAGAAGAGACTATAGTTTAGAGTTGAAGTTTTAAGTTGTCTAATTCACCCCCCTCTTAGATGTCACAGTCCCCTACAAACAGGATCCACATCTCCTCTCCAGTTCTATAAGTGCATTTTCTAAATGACTAATTCATTTTGGGAAACTATGAATCCATTTGGTCATCCATCCATTCACTGCTACACGGATAAATAATTTTTACAATCTCATATCTTTTTTACGGGTGGGTGACTTAGTCAACCATCCCTATAAATTTTGTGCCACGCTGTATTAAAAAAAGTATATAGCATGGTATACTTGGTCACAAATGACCATATGATGTGGTGGTAAGAGTTGCATGAAAGGTAGAAGATCATGGGTTCAAATCCCTGCAGACTCACTTGAGTTTGAACGTATGTAATAAATTTTTTTTGTGTGGTAGTCATTCATCCATCCATCACATATCTAAATGGTATAGATACAAGTCATTTTGTCGAACCGGTTCGAGAATATCCGTACCAGTTACACCTTTAGGTAAAAACGCGAGCGTTCATAACACGAGAACCTATACAGTGATAAGTCTTTCACTGTTTTGGAAAACTCCGGTTTTAACTAGACAGTTCGAGTTTTGTAACTCTGATATTGCTGCAGCGCGTTGCTTCAACCCTATCCTGCAGAGTTCATTTGTCATGGATGCGGAATCCAAGACTGGGAACTATGCTTGGGCAGCAACTGGGCCTGACGGAGTCCTCTCCCCTCACAAAATCAACCGCAGATAATTGGACTCTACACCTATGGACAAAGGCTATGTTCGCTCGAGCTTATCGGTCAGAATCAGTTCTACTTTTCAGTCATGGTAACAGTGTTTTTCTTTCATAATAAATTAGTCCTACAAATCAGCCGCAACAGCAATAAGTCCTGCCGAATAGGGCCAAACTTGCTGCATGTTTAATTACATTTGGCATGCCATCCAGTACATAACCGACTGACAAAGTGACAATACATACGTGCCATCAACCGAGATGCTGTTCTGCTCTGTTCTGCTTGTAAAGTGACAATACATGCTCTGTTCTGCATATGCGAACCATCTTCTAGTTCTCATTTCTTTCCTGTTTTTAGTGATAAACTGTACTACGTTGTAGCTAGGTTCTATTTTTCTTACATTCTTACATAGAGTAGCGGTATAATACCGAATCTGCTAAGAAAAAAGGGACTAGTAGATAAGCTATATGAGTTCAAATTTATTACTGTATTTACGCTGAATTTAACTGCTATGCGCGCTCATCTGTTTCAGAGCTGTACGAAGCGATGATGTTTCTTTGAGAATTTCGCACTGTGGAGTCTGTTATGCTGATGTTATTTGGACACAAAACAAGCACGGTGATTCGATATACTCTTTAGTTCCAGGGTAAGTTCGACGAATGAGTTGCATTTCCCGTATATGGCTCGGAGGATAATTGTTGATTCATTAGTTTTTGAATTTGTAAAAGAGCATATCTTCTTCATTTTCTGATGAATATTTACTTATATATCTGAATGTGTGTGGTAAATTAACTTCTTATGATATTTGGGCAGACATGAGATAGTTGGACAAGTAACAGAGGTTGGATCAGAAGTCTAAGGGCTTCAACGTTGGTGACCATGTAGGTGTGGGAATCTATGTGAACTCGTGTGGGGACTGTGAGAACTGCAATAGCTTCACAGAGATCCACTGCCCAAAAATGGTGGTCACTTTCAACGGGATCGATGCGGATGGCACTGTGACAATGGGAGGATATTCCAGTCACATAGTAGTCCGTGAAAGGTATGATATGTGTATGCTTTTCTGAATTGTAGAAACGTAAAGATTGCTCGGCAGTCGTTATCTTAATGCATATAAATGTTGATTGAATCGCACTTGAGAACTAGGTATGCAAACTGGACTACCCAGACACAATATTTTAACCAGTCATTTCTAAGAAAATATAACCATAGAGAAATTAGAAAGTCTTTTTTCAAAGAAACAACTCAAGAGTATTAAGTTTGTTAGGCAGAGTCCGGAAGTTGCTCTCTAAGGCTTTGTATCGTCTTGATGTATTTTTTTTTTGATTTTTTTTTTAAAAAACTTTCTTTATTAAAAAAAATAGAGTATCAAGTTACATGAAATAATTTGGCTCGAAATTTCACTTGCATTTCAGGTTCTGCTTCAAGATTCCTGATGGCTACCCTTTGGCTAAGGCAGGGCCTCTGTTATGTGCTGGAATTCTAGTCTATACTCCCATGATTCGGCACAACATGAACCAAGCTGGCAAATCACTTGGCGTGATTGGACTGGGTGGATTGGGGCACATGGCAGTGAAATTTGGAAAAGCATTTGGGTTGAATGTCACCGTTTTCAGTACAAGTGAATCAAAGAGAGCCAAGCCATTGATCTCCTAGGTGCAGATAATTTTCTAATATCATCTGACAAGCAACGTACACTACCCATATCTTCACATCACTGTCGGTTCAAAAACTTCCTTCACTGTCGGATTTTAAACCGACAGTGACATACCGGCAGTGATGGAGGCTTATCACAACCAGTTATAAAAAAACAACAATGATGTGGTTTTCAGAAAATCCAAAAAACAAGCTGAAAATATAAGGATTTTTTTAATTATGGGAGAGGCACCACTGGACAGCCATACGATCGTATATGCACTTCACGGCCACCGGCGCTCGAATCCCTGACCTCTTGTTTCGTATCTTTGGCCCATAACCACTCCACCTACAAGCTGTTTGTGGTCAAATGAGATTTTCGTCCTAACCATTTTACGTTCATCTAATTTTAAAATGGGTATTTGGTACCTTAAACGAATTCATATGAAAAAGTTGTCAACTATAAAGTTTTATAACTTTTTGAGATCTACAACTTTCATTTTGTTAGTTTCTCAATCCGAGGTTGTTTGCAAAATTTGAATTTCAAATTTGAGAAATTCAAACGTAGTTTTTCATGACAAGATGATTTCAAATAAAAAAGTTGTCAACTACAAAGTTTCATAATTTTTTGAGATCTACAACTTTTGTTCTTCCTATTTGTCCATCCAAGGTCATTTAAAAAATTCAAATTTTAAATTTTTGGAAATTCAAACATAGTTTTCCTTGACAAGATGATTTCAAATAAAAAAGGTTGTCAATTACAAAGTCTCATAACTTTTTGGGATCTACAACTTTTATTTTGGTAGTTTCTCCATCCGAGGTCGTTTACAAAATTTAAATTTTAAATTTTAGAAATTCAAACGTAGTTTTCCTTGACAAGATGATTTCAAATCAAAAGTTTGTCAACTATAGAGTTTCGTAACTTTCCAAGATCTACAAATTTTATTTTGGTTATTTGATCATTTATTCATCCGACATAGTGGTAATAACATTGTTCACAAATATTTCATAACATTTATGAACAATGTTATTACCACTTTATCGGATGAAGAAATGACCAGAATAAAAGTTGTAGATCTTGATAAGTTCTACAACTTCTATGTTTGTGACTTTTTCAGCTGAAATCATTTAGTGTTCCAAAATGACGTTTGAAGTTGCCATTTTTTTAAATTCAAAATTCAAATAGATAAAACACAGTCACATGAAAAGATACATAAAATAATAGCTGTAAGAACACAATAAATTGATAGAGCATGATTTTAGAAATTTTTAGAAAAAAATCATCAAATTTGAAGTTAGTATGAGGGAGAAAGACTAGCTACAAGTTTTAGCCAGAGATTAAAAATAGAAATCAGAGTTGTTCAACAATTTCAAAATTTAATTTCAAACAATATTTTAAAGTAGTAAATGATTTCAAATGAAAAAGTTGTCAAATACAAAGTTGCATAACTTTTTGAGATCTACAACTTTTATTTTGGGCGTTTCTCCATCTGAGGTCGTTTGAAAAATTCAAATTTTAAATTTTAGAAATAAAATGTAATTTTTGTTAGATAGATGATTTCAAATGAAAATATTTAGACATCTAAATGATCTTAAATTAAAAAGTTTGAACTACAAAGTTGTAGATCTTGTCGAGTACTACAACTTTGATATAAAGTTCGTCTTCATCGGACATCATATGAGAAACTTATAAAGTTTTCTTGCAGCATATCACTGTCGGTTCAAGCCACAAACCGACAGTGATAATATCAGTGTCGGTTCTTGGCTAAAACCAGCAGTGATGACCCAATATCATTGTCGGTTCTTGGATACAACCGACAGTGAAGACCCGAATATCAGTGTCGGTTTTGGCTAAAAACCAACAGTGATGGGCTATTACTGTCGGTTTCTTAAAATCCGGCAGTGATGAGGCCGACAGTGATGTACAAATCTATAGTAGCGGTATCGTTGCCCTTGATCTCCTTAGTGCATTTAACAACAGTTTTTAACTTTTCCACAAGTTATTGCCATTATATTTTCAATGATATATATTACATGACCTTTTTGTCATCCTATGTCTTGCTTATAGAAAATAGCTAGCGTCAACACCATGTATCAAAAAATGAATATGGAATGGAAACTTAACTTTATTCCACAAATCAATCTGTGTTTTTGTGCTATAAATAAGACTGCTCTACCTGCCAAATACTGTATATATAGGTCATAAGTATTAATATAGATCATAATTGTTATATAAGTTCATCCCAAATGTTATAGCTTTCTTAAAAGCTGAGAATTCTCTCCTTCAAATAAAATTGTTATATAAGTTCCTTTATATTTTATTTGTGGACAGTTTACATGAACACTTCAGTAGAGTATGGTTACTAAGGCAAAGAATAATCTAATGAAGTGAGTTCTAACCTTTGACACTATGAACATACTATGATAAATTATTTGTAAGCCTCATGTAGTGCTCATATGTAGAGTAATTGTGGTCGATTCAAGCAGGGCTAGAGACAGTGATACAAATAAATTTCTTTTAACCAGAATTTTTACAATGGTTGGAAAAAATACAGACCATCTAAAGGGAGAAATCGAATGGTACAAAAATAGGAGGCACCAATTTAAATGTACTAAGAAGTACCAAAATAGATGGGTATAGTACCAAAATAGGTGAGGTCCAAAGTTTGATTTTGATTTTTATTATTTAATTAGAAATTTTACAATGGTTTGGAAAAATATGGACCAACCATGAGAAGAAATTGAATGGTGCAAAAATAGGAGGTACAACATATCCTAAAATAACAGCATCGGGATTCTTAACATATTCTTTAATGATATACCAACAGCCGAAAGTGAGTTTGCTGATATATGTTGCTCTATATTTTATAGGCCCTAAAAGGCTCCTTGCACTTCATTATTGACACTGCTGCTGGTATCCACCCATTCGATCCGTATCTATCGCTTCTGAAAGCTGGTGGTACAATGACGCTAGTGGGCTTCCCATGTGAAATCAACATGCATCCTGGAAGTCTTATTTTTGGTACTGCTACGTACATATTCCATTACAAAATTTCGTGACTCCATTATTTACTGATGAAAAGAACTCTTGAAAAAAAAAATTATCTTGTACTCAAATACACATTTACACAGGTGCACGGACCCTTTCTGGCAGTGGAGGTGGAGGAACCAAGGGGATCCAAGAAATGTTGAACTTCTGTGCAGCGAACAAAATATACCCAGAGGTTGAGGTCATCAAAATGGACTATATCAACGAGGCTCTCAAGAGGCTTGTAAATCGGGATGCCAAATACCGCTTTGTAATCGACATCGAGAACTCTCTGAACTAGTAGTATCATGTTAATAAGGAGACCCCTCATGCTTGCTTCTCTCTATTCTCTCTGCTGATATATGTGGCTGCAAATAAACCAAGATATCAGGGTGTTGACAAGCATATCTTTCATGTTATGTAAAATTTCGAGTGGTTGTTATATGGATGCATGTCTTGTTTACTTGTGTTACAATTTATAAGATACTGGGGTCGTGTTTATACATGAACTTAAATATAAGAACCAAACTACGGACCATGATCCACCAGAATTAGAATTATTGTAAACAAAAGTCTTGAAACCATGGTATACGAACAAACATTAGATACATGATGGTTCATGATTCTCATCATATAATTTAACTATCATGAACCCAAACATTAGATACATAATGAAAAGCTTAAGGATACAGCCAACAAGTAAATATATCATCATATACAAGTTTGTCATACACTTGTCTTAGCCTTGATGAGAATACAACGTTACTCCCTCAACAGTGGCCTACATGAAACGAGCTAAGCTTAGGAACTAGTCCACATCGGTCTACATGTATGTATTGTGAATATCTGGATGAGTCCCTCGCAGAGACACTAAATAATTTCTCACATAACTTCAAAGATTTTGTGAGAATTACTTAGTTGTTCCTTGTTCATCTCATGACTTCTAAGCCACTTACCAATTGTAGCTAATAAATACTGATGAACCCCAAGCAATTCTAGCGTTTTCGATATTTATAGATAAATTAGGGGAACATAATATTTGATATATTTATAGATAAATTAGGTCCCATGCGAGTAGGTCCAAAAGAAAGGAAAACGGGAAGACACGTGATGGACCCACAACCACGACGATCGGACGTGTGCTGAATGAGGAAACTGGTTCAGCGCACGCACGCCAAATACGTACGTTTGGATGCGGAACCGTGCGCCGCTGATCTCTCTCTACACGCGTGCGTCTATATTAAGAGTCCTGCCCGGTATTAGGGACATACGAAACCAACAAATCAATGTACACGAGAAGTAAACACGAAGGATCAACCTAACAAAAGCCACAAACTTATTTTGAGTGTCTATATTAGTCTAAAAATTCAATTAATATAGAGATCTAAATTTCTACGATAACCAGCTGCCGCTATCCCACATCGCAAAAAAAAAAAAAACATTGACGCGCGCTCCGTTGCGTATCCGCGGCCGCCGCTCCCACCCCCGCCGGTTGATGCCGCTAGCTGGCTCCGCACCGTCCGCGTATCCGCCCCAGCCTCTCCTTGCTCTCTCTCCCTCTCTCCCGACGTGGCCCAAAGTGTGGCCTCCTCCATTCGCATCCGCCGACCAGGTGGTGTGCCAGCCGTGTGGCGCTGCCCCTCAGTGGGGTGGGCGCTCGCCCACATCACGCGCCGCGCGCCTCCGCCCCTCTACCTTGCTGCTCCTTCCACCAGATCCACTACGCGGCGAGAGATCTGATGCCGGGGATGGGGATCTGCGGGCGTGCTGCGTCGCCGGGGGGGGTGCGTCCCACGTGGAGCCCACGATACCAGCGGGCACTAAGGGGTCCCTGCCGGCCTCGTAGTAGGTGCAGTCCATCTGGTCGATGTTGGCGATGGTCGATGGTGGCGACGGTGTGGTTGCCTCCGGTGAAATCCACATGCTGGCGAGCATCTATTTCGTAAGCAGCAAGGAGATGTTGCAAATGCTGAAAACGCATGATGCAAGCGTA